GGCAGATCTATTTAAAAATGGCCTCCAGCTGTAGTTTGAGAGTATGATCCAGTTCAGCACGATCTATGATATTTTGTTATTTTTCATTTTTAAAAATGACTGTCATTTTTCAATTGAGAAAGAAGTTGTTGATTAGTTTGAAATAAATTTATGGAGCTCACGTCTTATTTTCTGTTTTGATTCTAAAACAGCAATATCTTGCAATTTTTTTTTAAAAAAAAAGAAGCCTATTATATATTTTAATGCATTATATAAATATACACTACTCAGAAAATTATTTTTTCTGTTTGAACTCTCATTTACAATGATTTATTTCAAGAATATATTAAAATACAATATCTAAGACAGAAAACTATTAATGAGTTATAGCTAAAAATTGATCACGTATTTATGAATAATTTTTTATATTTGCTCGTGAATTAACAACGCATCCTAAAACTGTTAATTAGTTTTCTCTTTAATGAAGCATACACTTACAAAAAATTTCTTTTTTTTCACATAAAATTAATCACGTATTTATGAATAATTTTTTATATTTGCTCATGAATTAACAACACATCCTAATACAGTTAATTAGTTTTCTCTTTAATGAAACATGCATTTACAAAAAATTTCTTGTATATTCACTAAAATGTGGAGTGTAGCTAAATACATTTCTTGTAATTTCACTTAAAAAGAGCATCATTTTGAAAAATAGTTTTTTTTTATACATTCACGTAATTTAACAATGTAGCTTTAAATACATTTGTGTTTTTTCCTAAAAATGAATGGCATATTTATAAATAGTTTTTTATACATTCATTTAAATTTGCAATGAACAGCTTAATACACCGAAGAGCCATTATATTATGACCACCCTTCATCTATAACAATGGGCTCGCTCAGGACAAAATGCNTCTATGAATGATTTTTTATACTTGTTCGTGAATTACAGCACATCCTAATACGGTTAATTAGTTTTCTCTTTAATGAAGCATACATTTACAATTTTTTTTATATAATTAAATAAAATTAATCGCGTATCTATGAATGATTTTTTATACTTGTTCGTGAATTACAGCACATCCTAATACGGTTAATTAGTTTTCTCTTTAATGAAGCATACATTTACAAAACATTTATTGCATATTCACTTAAATTTGGAGTGTAGTTAAATACACTTCTTGTAATTTCACTTATAAAGAGTATCATTTTTAAAAATAGTTTTTTTAATGCATTCATGTAAATTAACAACGTAGCTTTAAATACATGTGTGTCTTTCCTAAAAATGAATGGCATATTTATAAATAATTTTTTATACATTCATTTAAATTTACAATGAATAGCTTAATATATTTCACGTGGTTTTTGTTAAAATGAATAACATATTTATAAGTGGTTTTATGCATTCACGTAAATTTGCAACGTAGCTTATATGTTTTCATTTATAAATTATATCATATTTATGAATAATGTTTTGTAGAATCACACGAATTTTTTTTCTAAGGCATTGAATTTTCTGTAATTATGAAATATTATAACTGAGTTATTGTGTTAAGAAATACATCTCTAAAAATATCAGTCTCAAAATTATTTTAGTTTAGTATTATTTAATTTGCTATGTGGTTAAATTCAAAGCATATTATTATTGCATATTCATTGTTATATGGGGATTGTTAAGTAAATGTTCTGAAAAGTTAAAATTTTTTCATAAAATTCAGAAATTAAATCCACTGTTTCATTACGCACTGTTTCATTTTGCATTTCTTTTTGCTATTTTATTATTATATAAAAGTATTATTTTTGTTCAGAGCAATGTTTGTAAATTCTGAAAACATAACTTAACGTTAAAAAAAATTTTTTATACATTTTCTATATTTTTATTGCATATGTAATAACTTTGAAATAATAATTAGTTTCTTTATTATAAGGGAGATTATTAATTTTACGAATATTTATTTCATAATAAGATTTCATAAAAAAAAAACTAAAAAAATCTCAATAGCTCCTAAAAACCCCGTCTGATCTTAATATAGTTTTCACTTCTTAAGCTAATTAATCAATCTCTTTCCTACTAAATTTGGTTGAAAATTTAATTAAAACGAGCATCTTTTAAATATTTCATTCACTTAGCTAATATCTCATTTTGGAATTTTTAAAAAAATCATTTAAGATTTCTATTTATAACAGGAAATATTTAAGAAACTTTTTCTTTTGTTGTCGCTTAATATTAGGTTTTGCGACTGTTGCCACTTTCCCCTTTATAAATACCGATTTCCAACTACGAACCTTATTAAAGTACATTTCTCCACTAACAAGATTCCATGGCCGTCGCGAGCGCCTCTCTTGGGACATACTGAAATTAAATTTAAAGGGAACGGAAACATGAAAGGCCGGTAATTAAATGTGGTTTTCGATAAATGAACAAAACTTACTAGCTTCAACTTGCATTTTAATTGCATTGTAGAATTTGTATCAGTCGGGTAATGGAATATCAAATAGTCCTACTTTTTCTTTTTGATTTTTTTCTAACATTCTGTTTCGATTTTTAAAAAATTTCTTTATATCATTAAAGGATGATGAAATATTTTCTATCTTTTGATGCGATTTTATTACAGGTTAACTCGCTTTTCATTTTTATTTAAATATACTATTATAATTTTTATTTTATTTTCTTCTTCATTCTGTTCATTTCAATTAATATAAAATAGGTTCAGCAATAAAACTGTCCTCTGTTTTCAGTTATTTTCAAAAATTCCAATTTACATATTCGCATGATACCGATTATCGGATATTTTTAAATGTAAAGTTTTACATTGCATAGTCTAGTTATACAAATTGCAATGAACATAAATAGAGTTATAAAAAATGTTATTTCACATTGCAAAATATGCACATGGAGAAGTAGTGGATTACTGTTTCGATTTATCGGATATTATTAGGATTCTATGATTCCAGTTATTTTTCAAGTGATTCTAGTAGAAGTAAAGCTTTACTTATTTCAAAAACCAATGCATTTATCACATTTAAGCTATGTTGTTTAGATATTACACAATGTTATTTTTAAAATGTATCATAGAGGATCACAAAATTGTTACTATACCATTATTTATCAATTTTATTACAATTATTGATTTCTATTATTATTCTATTGGTAATATTTTAATCCTACTAGTTCCATTTCAACCACTAGTGTTACACATTTCGCATATCCAAGCATTTTTCACATTTTGCAAAAATAGTGTTTTATTTAATAAAAAAGTTTAATTTATCGTTATATTAAAGTCTTATTGAAGTTTTAAAAGTACTTTTGGAACGCGAAACCTTTTCAACCATTGATTTTTAGATTAAGTCTCCTAAAATATGAAAAACTTTAGTTCATGTCTTTTACAGAAATATGAGATATCTTCACAATATTTTATTCTAACTTACACAGAGAGAAAAAACTTTTCCAACTCCATTTAACGACAACAGGATAAATAAAACCATTCTTTTTTTATTAAAATAATATTTACGAACCAGTTTATTTCGAATAAATTGAAGATAAACCCCAAAAGCAATTTTACATTTTAATCTCCTTTGTTTTTCTATACTTTTATATCCGTGATAATTGCATTTCCCGAACTTTATGCGCTCTACCATTTAGAATCAATTCCAATTCAAAATCCGAAGGATTAAAGTGCTACTAAAACCGAACTGCCATTAAGAGCTTTTGTCGCCAGTTACGGTTATAAATATGGAAGCAACAGCTAAAATAAAGACTGCGATGCTCATTGCCATTCTCCATTAGCATAATTTGTGGTATGATGAATGGATCTCCCGGAGCTCTTACTATCGTCTGCGTGCATGTCAGAACTGTTTTAAGAACATTCTAAAATGACAACGATATCGCGTGCCATTTTGCCATTACAGGTGGGAAGCTTTACCGGGTTATAGGTTATAACTTATCATAGAATGTATTTTTAGAAGAAAAAAATGGAGTTAAGTAAATGAAGACTGTATTTGAAATTTTATTCTTTTGATTTGTTGCGTCGATATCGATTTTTTTGGAGTCTTCTCTATTTTTTTCGTTGACTCTTGAACAATTGTAATGTTCTGTTTGGGAATCAAAAAGCAATAGTAATGGAAATAGAATTTTGATTATTCCTTTATCACGCAAGGTTTCACGTTACATCCCCAAAACGTTCATGTTCGAAAGGATTACATAATAAAATATAAATCTTGATAACTTAAAGAATGCATTGTATACTTAATAAAAAGAAAACCATTGCTGAATCAAAATAATATACATCTTTTTTTTTTCATTTGAGCACTTTTTTTCAAACAATATTAGGTTAATTTACGCCAGGTTATAGGTTAATTTACAATCACGCATATATGGGCATTAAAATTATAACTATTTCATTTAGTTTTATAGAGTTTTTCGTATACCATTTACCACTCAAATTAATGTATTGCTTCAAGAATTATTGTAACTTACTAAGTTAATTACAGAATCTATACTTCTCAATTGAAAAAAAAAATCTAGCTTTAATTCGTAATGTGATAAAAAAAGTTAAGATTTTTATTCTAAATATATCGTTGATGATGAATTTTATAAGTACTAAATAAATGAATATGTCCTTAATTCAGTCTCGGTAAATGTATGGGTTTTGCATTCAAAGAGTAGGAAATGATACGGTTATGTTACAAGAGATAAGATAATATCTCAGAGAAATATATGTAATCTTCTATATTCTTTCTAAATTGTTTCTGCGGTGCTACCTTAGAATAAAACATTCTAGAATATGACACATTTTGAGATTTTTGTGTGTGAGATTAAATAAGTTTGTTTAATGCTTATTGACCAATCGATTAGGCACTAATTAGTTTGCGTGAATCCTTAGCAACGTGGATAATTATGTGTAAAGCTTGATGATTTAGTTTGGAGCATTTTGAATAGATCTTTTATTGGTCCCTGCTAATTCTCTGAAGCATATATGCTTCACACTAAAAAAAAATTTGTAAGAAAGTATTGTAGAATGCAAGGTAATAAATTTCTGCAATAATTAATTAATGGGTACAACTTAACCCATTTTTTCGTTTAATTAGAATGGAATTTTGTAAAAAAAAAGTTAACAATTAGAAGTTGCCAGCTTTAATAAGGAAATTCGAATTTGACCGAGAAATAAGAATTTAGAGAATTAGAATTTATTTGGAAAGATACTTTCTTTCCTTATGATATGAAATGCTTTACTTTTTTTTATTTCAGGAGTTGTTTTCTCTTCTGGAATATTTTCTAAGACAATTGAGAAATCAGTTGCGGATATTTTGAGAATTGATCTCCGTGTCAATCTTACTGCAAACAGTGAGGACAAGCCATTTTGCATACCTTCAGAATACGAAGACCACCTGACATCACCCACTGCTTTTCTGGACAGTGACGTGATTTTGCAAGCATCTGTATTTCATCGCTCTTTAAATACAACGTTCTATTGGAACATTTCTGGTGAAAGATTCACTACATTTGCAACAGCCCAACAGTTTTCTTCAACTACAGTGAGTATTATTATTATTTAATGTTGTTGTTTTCTATATCAATGCTAAATATTTCCGAAAGATCTGTGGATGAGTTTTGTGAGTTCTGGCGCCTGAGAACTGCATGTATGTTCCCTGTGTTGAGCCGAGTTTAAGCAGTAGAAATTTCGGTAGTTGAAAACGTGCTCTGGCGTTAATAGGATTTGGGGAAAGCCGTGACTGCTCAGGAGATAAAGCAATCAACTTCCAAGAAGGTGAACTGGGTTCGAATCCTAGCGTTGACTGGATGATACGAATCCAGCATCCGGCTTGCACCGACCACGGTGCGGACGTAAAATATCCTCAGTGGTAGACGGATCATGGATTAAAGTCCCCTTGCCATCAGTCTAACCAATGGAGGTTTTCGCGATTTTCCTCTCCATGTAAGACAAATGCGGGTTAGTTCCATCAAAAAGTCCTCCATGAAGGCTACTTTCTCCCAATACTTGATCTATTCTGTATTTTGTTCAAAATTGCAAGGCTACGGAGTTAAATATTAGTAGCCGTAAACCCAAAATTGACACGGCTGTTCAACGAAGGTTATGAAATATTAAATACGATTTGGGAGTAATGTCTGAATCTGTTATGCAGCTAATGAAAAACATTGAGTTGAAGAAAGAAGTATAGTTCTCAAAATCGCTATTTGATCTGGTTTTTGCAGTTTTTGATGTTGAGATAAACATAATTTTCGGTAAATTAAATGAAACATAAATTTAAATTAGATAAGAACTGTTTTTTCATCAAAATTAACATTTCCTAAGTTGTCTTCATCTTTTCACGGAATGTTTCTTTTTTCTTCTTGTCTATGCGTAAATCGCTTTTCCCCAGGTCCACCCAGCTTTACTATGTAATAATTCTCGGGGAGAACCATCTTATATAGTCGATTTTCCGCTTTACTGATTTGTAAAAACTCGAAATTTTTAATCCTCAAAATGCAAACAATCCAATCCTCATTTTCATGAAAAAATGTTGTGTTCTTATCCCTTAATCTTTAACTATTCAGTAATTATTTATTAATTATACAATAATTAGTGACCTAATAATCTAATAGTTACTTAATAATCATTTAGCAGAAACTGAATATAGTAGGGATTTTTTGATAATCAAGTAAATAATCGTTACAATAAAAACACTAAGAAACAATTTTTTTTTTTCAGTTGCAGGAGATTTTTAGCAGCTCTCTCGTAACACTGATTTCAAACTGCAACAGGTTTCTCTCTTTAAGCTACAGTTATTTTCGAAGTTCATTTTTTTAGTTTATTTTTTGTAGAAATGTACGCGTTCAAAAACATTTTATATTACAGGGAGTCACATAAAAATTTGCAACAAACTTTTAGGATAATAAGATCATCGGAATTAAAACTGAATAGTAATCATTGCTTGAAAATATCTAGTGGATCTTCCTTTCCATGAACTGTTTCTTCGTGTGCTTCTGAAATAAGAGAATAATGAAGAAACTCCCCTAGCGGTGCACGATGACATTTCCAGGAATGGATTTTTCTGCAGTTTTTAATCCTGATGATACCCTAGAAGTTTGGCGCAATATTTACTCTACCCTTTGTTATATTTAACGTTTCTAAACCTATTTCTACCAAAAATCGACTAAAAATATTATTTTCAAGCAAAACAAACCTAATGGTGTAATTTTCACGCTGATGATGAGCAGCAAGTTACAAAATCAGACAAAAAAAACTTTTTCTGTATAAATAATCGGCGAATAATCCTGAGAAATCGAATTTTAAATAAACGACTTTTTAAAAATTCAATTTCTCAAGAATTATTTGACCAATTTCACCCAAATTTCGTATTTTGCTATGTAAAATTACATTCTTTGAAATGATGTAAGAATTGTCTTACAATTCAAAAATTTTTCGACTATTATTAAATAAAATTATGAAAAATAATCAATATTTACTGAAAGTTATTATTTTTCGATTAATAAATTTTATTATCGCGTCTTAAACTTTTCAATTCATTAAGAAAATTCTCGAGTTGTGCTGAATCACTTAAAAGGCAAAATTAACATTAAAGGGTCCAAACTTTACAAGACGGATAAAAAAAAAAAGAGAAAAATGAAGAAAATTAATAAGTTTTATTTACTGCGCACTCGGTTTGATATATTTTGCTTTGGCTATATTTATACAATATTAGAAAGCACTGCTTTTTGCGCATATAATCGTGTGAGCTGATGGCAAGATTTTTTTTTTACCCGAAATTTTATTGAAAAAATACTTTCTAATTTTTTTTTTAAATTATGTTATTTTATTTTATTTTAAAATTTTTCTTTTTCTATTTTCTTTATTCTGTAATTTTTTTCCGTGTTTTCTCTACATTTTAACATAACGTTTTTCTCTACATATATAAATACAATAAATGCGCTTTCAAATATTTTAATTGTTTATCATCAAAATATATATGATCTTCGTAAATTATAGAAATTTCCCCTCCCATTTTAATAATTCATGCATGATGGAAACTGCGATTGCTTTGATATAAACTGCATGTTTCACCTTCTGACAGCGAAAGGGTGATTTAAATTTTATTTAATCGAGATTTAAATGAATTATTTCGTTTATGCTGATTAAATGATGATCTTTTCGAATGTCAAGTAGCTGCATTAATCAGAATACATATGTATCATTAATTTATCTTTCCTACGTCATTGAAGCATGATAAACGTAAATATTCGTAACTTATGTGATTAAGTGCTCAATTAAACAGAAATGAGGGAAGCTGTTTCAATTTATATTGCTTGTTTTTTTTTTAATAATTATTATGCTAGTAATTTTTCTCAATTTCTTTTTGCATTTCTTTAAAAAGCCTGCAAATATTTTTTTAAAAATTTAAATGTGTTTTAATGCTAAGGATAAAAATTTGTATTATGTGAGTTATTAGCATTAAATTTAGTTGAACCACATAAAAGTAATACGTTAACTGTGTTTTATCAAAATTTAAATAATATTCCAGGATAAAATAGTATTCTTGTGATTACAATCGAGTATCTTCCTTGCAATTATCCAACTTCTATTTATATTCTAACTATAACTTACTTTTTTTAACCTATTTAACCTCTAACTATATTTTTCCTCTTAACTTACACATATGACAGTCGATTTTTTAATTATTTGCACATTTGTCTACTTCTAATCTAGTAATATTTTTACATTTATTTACTTATATTCTAACTATAACTTACACATTTTTCCACTTATATCCTAACTATAACTTGCTCATTTGTCTATCTATATTCTAATAATAATTTGTACATTTATCTATCTATATTCTAATTATAACTTAATTTTTTGCCTACCTATATTGTGACTATATTTACTCATTTGTATACCCATGACCTAAATTTAACTTGCACATTTGTTTTAACTTGAAAGTTAAGTTTCACTTGCACTACCCGTTTTTTCAACTATAACATATAACATGCATATTTGTCTAACTATATTCGAACTGCAACTTACAAATTTTGCTGCTATATTCTAACTGGAACTTACACATTTGTCTACTACCGATATTCTAACTATAACTTACACATTTGCCTACCTTTATTCCGATTATAATGAAACATCTGTATACATATATTCTAAGTTTAACTAACACAATTTTCTACTTATTTGTTTAACCATAACATATAAGATACACATTTGTCTAACTATCTATTTTAACTATATCTTATACATTTATCTATTTGTTTTCTAATTAAAAACCACAGATTTGTCTATCTATAATCTGACTTTAACTTACAAATTATTCTAGCTATGTTCTGATTATAACTTACTCATTTGTCTACCAATGTACAAACTACAACTTACAAATTAGTCTGCGTAAAGTCTGATTATAACTTACTTATTTGTCTACAAATATACAAATTATAACTTACAAATTTATCGACCTATATTTTAGCTATAATTGACGCATTTATTCTAACAATAACTAATACATGAATCTACTTACTATACAGACAAACGAGTTTAGCAATAAGTATATTGAACAAATTTTTAGAGTGTCCTAAACTTTGCAATAAATATGTTTCGAAAAAATATAATTGCAAAAACATTATTAATATAAAAGAGAAAATATCATAAAAGAGAAAATATCATAGAAGCAAAAAGATAAAAATTTTGGGAAATTTATTCTATTTAAATGATTTTGAGATGAGATAAGAGTCAAAAACTTTTCTTGTGCCAAATATTCTTTAAAGTTTCATAAGAACTGGTATAATATATCCTGCCAAAATAAATAATAATTTCTCAAAATAACTATTTTCTTTCAAAATATTAAAACATCTATAAAATATTACAATGTTTCTGTTGCTGAAACAGTTTAGCATTACAAGCAAAAACCCAGTTCAGTAATCCGCAATATGTGAGATTGTGAATTTACGAAATTGTGAATTACAATTGTTAATTTGCGAAAGAGTCTTTTTTCTCTAATTCATACTCGTGAAAAACATAAAAATGTATTCTTATTATTAAATGAAGTAATATTTATTATTAAATTAATTTATTATCAAATGAAATAATAAAGTTTATAAATATTTACTAAAATGTATTCTTTGTATGGAATCATCCTTGGATAAACGAATTTTATAATCGTATGCAAAAATTTTTCAATAAGCTTGAATAATTCTCGAGATATGGCGAAATGCGCAGAAAATAGATTTAACATTAAGAGGCCCAAACTTTGATTCGCTCTTCTGACGAAACTATGGGGACCATATTTCGCAGATTGCGGCTACCCCTATATTTTGGGAGTCAGAAATCCGAATCCATTGAAAAATTTGTGTGTTTATTCGGAGAAAGTACGTTTTTGAGTCTGATTTCGTAACTTAAAATTCTCTGTCCGAACTTATTAATTAGCATATTTGAGGTCACCACCTCGAACCACTAAGAAGGAGTCCTAGAACGGGAAGATCTGATCATTAGATCAAAAGTTATTCAGCGTAGTCCGTTTTTTAGAGCACTGTACATCTT